TTGCCTCCCTTGGTGGACGTGCCTTCATCCACAGACGAGGTATCTATAAATAATTCGTTCTCCAGAGATGAAACTGCGAGAAACAGAGGATCGAAAGATCCTGGTATATGTATGCATATCGGAGCTCAGTTGTAGAGCTCACAATCTGAACGAGAGAGAAAGAGAAAACGAAACAAATAGCCAGTCAACTAGACAGTAGAGCTGGAAGGATATTGATTAAATTAGAGAAATTGTGCGTTCAAGTTCACACCTTTTCAACACTTCTTGGCAAAATCAGTCTAACTAAGGCTGGGGTTTTCTGCTGCCCCCGCCTATCAAAGAAAACCACCAATGCAAAGAAATTTGGCAAGACCTTGGGTTGCACTCAGGAAGGTCCTGCCTTTGATGAAAATCTGAAATCCAATTCATCAATATTCATCATCTTCAACACCAATTCAACACAATTCATCACTATGCCATTTTTTCATCATCATTCAAACAAATTCATCACATAGTCTAGTCAGATTTTTCATCACCATTCATCACCACCTATGATAGCGTTTCGTCTTGGCCTCATGTACCAGCAATAAAATAGCTGGTGAAAAGTGTGTCCACTAAAAAATCTACAGAGGCAGTCTGGTACAATAGAACAGTAGAAAGAATAGCCAAAACAGATGGAGCGACATGGTTGCTGTTTTACAGACTGTTCTTTAATCAGCTACAACATCCACAGCCACACACGGTACATTTTCTACCACCACACAAACTGACTCATTCTGTTGTTGTCAACATTCGATCCACTTGTTGTTGTTGATGTTCGATCCACTTGTTGTCGACGAACGGCCGTCGGCCGTCGTCGTCATCAACCACTCCACAGCCCCATTGTCGACGGCCGACAGTCCACAACCACTCATCTCGTCGACGGCCGACGGCCGGCCGGCCGTTGTCGTCGTCGTCAACCACTCAGCCATCGACAACCACTCAGCCAGCAACAGCAACAAGAAGAAAAGGTTCCCACAATCGTCTTGAGAGAGGCAAGAAGCTAAAAGGACAGAATTGGAGGCATGGGAAGCAGCAGCAACCTAGGCATTAGTATCCGATCTCTTGATTAGCTCTGACAACATCACAATGATGATGTTGTCAGTAATTCATCCAACAACCAATCCAACAGAACGGCAGATCACATGATTCGATTATTTGGATTCGAAGGCACATTTTCATCATCACTGCTATCGTCGGAACCATTGTTGTTGCTTGGATTGTTAGCGACCGTAGAAGCTCTGTTGTTGAGGGTAGCAGCAGGCGCAGTGCTGGTTGTGGAAGGAGGAGAGTCAGAGGCGGAGGCAGAGATCTTCAATGCATCGTTGTGGCGGTCAACCATTGCTTCTGCATGCTGTTGGCGACAACCTTTCGTTGGAAAGCACCAGTCTCTCTTGTGGATTCCTCTCAACTCCCAGTCCTCCTTGGCCAAGCCAAAGAAAGAAGTATCATGCCAGCGAACAAAGCACGTGATGCTGTCATCAACCACAGGATCCTTGCCCTTCCTCTTCTGCAATTCAGTAAAATGCATGGCCTTGTCGCACTTGACACAGATATGGGAACAGGTCTCACCACAGACAACACATTTCTTGGTTCTTTGGTTGGGAAGTCTTTGCACTGTTGCCATATGAGAGGAAAGGCCATCAAGTCGGCCACACAATCTGCCTTTGAAATCAACAAGATCTTGTGGCGTCAGAGCTGAAGCAGTAGAATCAGGAGTGGATGCTCTCTTTCGCTTGTTGGTGGAAATCGTCTTTTGTGGAGTTCTTTTCGACACTGACTGCTTGGTGGCTACACGGAAGTTTTCATCTCCAGGGTACTTGCGATGGATAGGGTTGTACCTGCACATTTGCTTGGCCAGTTTTTCCCGAAACCTCCAGAAGTCCACCGGCTTGTTGACTTTCCAATCTTTGTTGAGGTTTCCTTCAGTACACTCCAAGTACATGTCATAAGCAACCACCACCACCATTTCCTTTGCATGCAGCATTGCAGCATGCCAATACTTCCACGACCTTGCGAGAAGTGAAGAGGGAATGAGTGAGATAATTGATAAATAAAAACCAACAACAACAGTGGACATACCTGTATGAGAGGTTACAGTTCTGGATCATGTGATCCAATCGGTCAACACCACCATACGTCTTTAAATAAAGGTCTCTAGCTTCATTCATTTCAATAGCCCACTGTCTTTTGTAAGAACCCCTCCCTCGTTCCTTAGTGTGTGCATACAAATGGCAACTGTTAAGGGCATTAACAGTGGAGATATTGCATGACGATGTGGACTGGAAGGAGCAATGGACAATAGTGGCTTCACTTGTGATTGCTTTGGTCAGAACAATAGGGTGTTCAAACCGTGCAGCTTTCGACTTTGGGTTGACCACTGTCTTTTCCTTGTGGAAGTACTGGTTGGGAACTTCCTTTGGCAATCTGTCATGGCGACAAGTCATTGTCATTCCAAACCCTTGTGTGCCAGCATAATGAAGGATATTATCTCCTGAGAAGTGGTTGTCCCAGGTGAGGTGTGGTAAATCTGTGAAGACCTTCAAGGGGCTGGTGTTTTCTTCTCCTATTTCATAGCCAATGGTCAAGGAATAGAGCTGATCCAGAATCTTCCTTGCTTCGAGTTGACCACCAGTACAGTCCCAACCTGTTGGCTTCTTGTGTAGTTTGTGTCGGTGAACATAAGCCCTTGGACGAATTCGGTCAACATCAACAGCCAAGACAATTTGACCTCCTTTGTGGATGTGCGGCTTGTTGAGGATCAAAGACACAATACCACTTTGGCTCTCTCCCCAACCTCCAAAAGCCCAAGACGTCTCATCTGCCGCCAAATCCAATTCAGCTTCCTTGGTAATAGCATTGCAGTTATGCATGAGGACGTTGTAGATGTAGTCAAACTTGTAAGCTGGATCATACTCAGGTTCCCTTTTCTTTGCCACCTTCAAATTGTTGCACAGTTTCATAATTCTTTTGATTTCTAGCCACCTTGCCTTTGACATGGTGGAGGCAATGAAAGGACAGTATGCTGTATTCCCTTTCCTTTGATCAAAGCGACGCATCAATGCACCAGCACTTCCACCATGAACACCATCCATTACAACAACACCATCCCAACGGACAATCTCAGAAGGATTCACGCACTTGAAATCATGGCCGTATCCATTGCCAAGCTCTAGTTCGCCCATTGCATAAAGGTTGGACCACTGGCAAACCTTGTGATAAAATCCTTTCCTTGGATCGTCCTTGACAGACAACTTAGATGGATCACAGATGGGAAGAAGCAATTGATAAAAGAAGAGAGCATCAGGGCAACCATCTTCTTCCAACATCCTATCACAGTTCAGACCAAAAGCTTGCAACTTTCTTGCGTCCAGGCATCCTTTCCTTTCTTTTGGAAACAGGTTGTCCTTGGTGGCTCCATTGCGATACGAAGGAAAGCTAGAGTCTCCTTCCCATCCATCATAATGAAACTCAAATCCTCCATGCTGTCTCTTGCCATTTTCAGCATTCAAGGGAACTGGAGTTGCTCCGGTTGGAAGCGAATGATAAGCGTACGTTTGCTTGTCTTGCTGGTTCCTCGCTTTCCTGAACTTCGCTGTGTAGACATAAGGTGACCAACCACCTGGATTATCAACATCTTTGAATTCAGGTTCTCCTTTCTCTCTTCTCGCCTTTGGAAGTTTCCAGCCAGTTGGAGGACCGGGAGATTCCCAGCCAGGAGGAGCACCTTCAATATTCTTCGGTTGAACAGCAAGATTACGCCCTTCATTGGATAAAATGAAATCAGTATCATCATCTGGAATTGCTGCCAAATTTTCTTGTTGATGTTCATTCCGCTCATTCGCCACCTCTCTGAAAAGGGAACTATTACCAGGACCTTCACCTTCGTCTTCCGATTCTGGATCTCCGCCATTCTCTGCGTACCGAGCAGTGTTATATTCTGCTTCATATTGCAGTGGATCGACGTTGAAGGATTCATTGGCCGTGGACTCGTCATGTCCAGAAGGAGATGTCATTTCAGAAACTGATGGGGAACCCTGCGTCAAAACGTTGCGTAGAGGATGCCGCCTACTACTACCAGAGCCACTAGCATTGTTCCTCGGCGCCCTTGCACTGTTTTGTGGGCTTGCGGTGCTCCTTCGACCAGAAGAAGGCGTCTTGTCAACTTCAAAAGAAAATTTATGCAGCGAAATCAACCAATCTTCAGTCACGGTAGGTTCAATACCGAGCTGCCTGTGCGTCAAACAGCCAAAAAATAGCCGTCGACCTGACAATGATCAATCCTCATGAACAGACACCTAGATAGAGCTTGTCGGCCATCAACATACATGAAGAGAGGGTAGAAGACGTACTGGAGAGAGGGTATGCTCCCCTGAGTATGGCGCAGATCATGTGTTACAATACATTAACTCAAAACCTAAATCGGCTATTTTATTGCCGTTCTAGTGTGCGGCCGAGACTAAACGCTATCGTAAAACAGTAGTAAATTTTCATCACTATTCATCAACAGTCATCAGAGATTCATCATTTTTTATCACCATTCAACACATTATAAGACAATTCATCACCAGTCAACACATACAGTTCATTTTCATCACTATTCATCAAATCGCCAAAAAATCATCAAGGGCGGCACCTTCCAGGACATGAATCGAATCGAATCTAGATGACAGTACCGGTTCGTAGTCTACCGGGACTAGTAGGTACGGCTGTACGGTACTGTGAGAGCCGAGTGAGTCAGCACAAAACCCTTACCTGGTACCCCTAAGCTCTCCGAGGCCTCAGGATCCTACCGGTACTAGCTACTAGTACATGTAGTAGGACTGAAATGGACCTTGATGTTCCAAACCAAATTTGGCCAAGTCGCGAGTGGAACGAATTTGGCGAGGTGATCAAGCCTTTGCTTCCGGGTCCTGGTGCGAATTTGCAGGCTCTCTTTCAGATTTCATTTTCATTTTATCGCTTTGCTTGCATCCAAGGTTATGGCTCTTCCGAACAATTTTACTGTGCTGGACTCTGGCGGTGGCGGCAGTACGATCAGAGAACTTGCCTTGGCTGCCAATGTGGCCTACCTTACCCCGTACTACCTCGTTCTAAGGAAAGAAAACGTCTCAGCTTCGAAGGATGTAATAGCTGTTTCGGACACCATCTTCAAGCGAGGAGCCGATGCTCGTGCTCTCCTCGGCTTGCCAGCGAATGGAAAAGCCACTATTACGCCTGCTGGGATTCCAGCGGGGACCCGAGTATTCGTGCAGAGTTCTAGCCATAATCGAAAGATTCCAGCCAACTCTCAAGTACTCTTGCAGATTGCTGCCGACGGGGCGGCTGTCAATGCGGATTCTCCTCCTGCGCCGGCTCCTGCACCGGCTCCTGCGGCGGCTCCTTCCCCTGCTCCATCCCCAGCACTGGCACCTCCAGATACTAACCCTCGGCCCAGCAAGCAGGCGAAAACTGGCGACAATGTCAATGATGGCAACGACCAGGACACTATTGTGGACGACGACGGCACCAACCTGGGCTC